GAGCATCTAGAGTAAGATTCAAGATCCAACTACTGTATATTTCCCAATGTTATTATAAATAGTATATTAAAAGTATACAAGAAATTTTAAAATCTGTTAGGTATTTAAAAAGCATCATAGACATTGTATGGTGGATACCGGAGTTTATACATTGTACATAAATTAAAAAAATTTTTAATATTAAATAAATTTTACTGTTCATGGAGCCTTTCACTTTTAAAGATACATATACTCAGCAATCTACTAAAACTATTCAAACTCTCACCTGAAATGAGGTAGTACTAGGCTTCTTGAATCGTGTAGCAGATGAGGTAGATTTGGTTTATAATTCTCTTTGATAGCGGTAAGCTTACAGATACATAATGCTCGTGGGTTCACCGTAGCGTAAATTGTGCATAATAATAGCGAACGTTTTTTTTATATTTATAAATTGTCCTATTTATAGAGACATGGGTTATTACAAAGTCCTTCCACTTTCAGTACATTACATCATAACTTGGACATTTGCCAAGTTTTATGTTGACTTGTACAGTATGCCAAGGTTATATAATTTGCTTTCATAATTAATATTAAAATTTTTTAGGAAGTACAGTAGTCTAGATTTCTAGCGTAGATCTGTATGCTTTTGTTTCTGTCAGATTAAAAACAGAAGTTCCTATTGGTTGTACAAGTTTTCTTTTCACACCTACAGTAACACGCATTAGCTTATAGCAACATTGTAGTAGGTCACCAACAGTACCGTATCCTATAGGAAAAGTACCATAAAGGCAAAACCTTGTACAGTATATGTGTTGGAAGCCTACCTGCTGATGCAGTGATTGTGACATTAAATATTACGTAAAATATATTTAGCACACACATTTCCATGCCATGAAAAATTTAAATTAAATACTAAACAACAACTTAAAATACTGCGTTTATTACACTCACTATCGCCATAAATTCTCCAAATAAGAAGTCTACTATTTTTCCTCACAATTAAATAAGGAGAGACATTTTTTATACCTTGTTTACCAAACTCGCAACCCCCCCCCCCCCCGCAACCCCCCCACCCCCCAATGATGATTTCAAATAAAAATAAAATTAAATTTTTGGCCAATTAGCGCACCTGCCGCCACGAAATTCCAAAACAAAAACAATTTTTAAAAAATATTTTCCCCCCTCCTTTGAAAAACTATGAAAAAAGTAAGTTCGCAAAACGATGTATAAAAAAGTATGCTTTTGTTTCTGTCAGATTAAAAACAGAAGTTCCTATTGGTTGTACAAGTTTTCTTTTCACACTTACAGTAACACGCATTAGCTTATAGCAACATTGTAGTAGGTCACCAACAGTACCGTATCCTATAGGAAAAGTACCATAAAGGCAAAACCTTGTACAGTATATGTGTTGGAAGCCTACCTGCTGATGCAGTGATTGTGACATTAAATATTACGTAAAATATATTTAGCACACACATTTCCATGCCATGAAAAATTTAAATTAAATACTAAACAACAACTTAAAATACTGCGTTTATTACACTCACTATCGCCATAAATTCTCCAAATAAGAAGTCTACTATTTTTCCTCACAATTAAATAAGGAGAGACATTTTTTATACCTTGTTTACCAAACTCGCAACCCCCCCACCCCCCAATGATGATTTCAAATAAAAATAAAATTAAATTTTTGGCCAATTAGCGCACCTGCCGCCACGAAATTCCAAAACAAAAACAATTTTTAAAAAATATTTTCCCCCCTCCTTTGAAAAACTATGAAAAAAGTAAGTTCGCAAAACGAGGTATAAAAAAGTCTCGCCTAAATATAAAGCATTCACAATTCTAATACTGAACTGTCCTACTATACTTTACAACATCCTTTTTTTATATTTTAACCAACAGCAAAGAATCACTACTTATAGGTAATCAAAAAATGCATCATATTTAGTATTAGCAATAATATCTTCAACTTATTACTTTATTTTACAGTTACAAACTTAATTTTCTTTTTTTCATTCTAATAAAATTTTATTTTTATTCCCTCCTTCACCTGGATGCCTTTAGCAGAATTGTTTTGCTAAATGAGAATTTTTTTCCCACCTAATAGCTAAACAAGGTATTAATATCAGGGTTCGAATTTCCTTAAAATACTCCATCAGCAAGAAGTTGCTGTGGGCTTTGGCTTTACTACAGCAATTTATTCTTCTTCTACAGCAACAATCAACAATTTTATTGCTTTTAAGGGTAAAATTTGTTGCTAGGCCTAAGCTTGGGTTAAGCAACTTGACAGCTAAAAGCTTGATGTTGATCCTGGGTCTTACCACAGCAGTGGAAGGCCCTTTATTTTTTCCTCGCTGGTGAAGTTTTCTGTACCACTTCCAAAGGAGGTAGATCCAGGACTTTTCTTTACAGAGAGCTCAAAATATATAAATTTTTTAATTATTTAAGGTATAAATTTTCAGGACTTTTTAATTTCCTCCAATCTAATGCAATAGCAATGAAGTTCTTGTATATTACTTAATATTTATCCAATAATGTTTTCAAGCACAGGACACAACTACTGCACATGACCAATACTAGTACAGTAGGCCTATAAAAAAAATTATAACCAACAATAGTTGTCTGAAAATTCAAGTTTGCTTGTTTGGACAAATTTGATGATGTCGCACATGCATGGACGATTACAAAGGTTCCAATTGCTTTATAGCATAGGCTAGAAACCATAAAGTCATTTTCAAGTAGGATGTAAACTATTGACCTCCATAATAGGAATTACTGTATACTGAATGTAGTTAGTCTGTCAAAGTGGACTGTGAAGAAAGGCTTGCGTTTCAATGTTTACACTACTTATAATTTCTAAAGTGCTCCTAAGTTTCTATTTTAAACATAAAGTACATTTACACAGATATCCAGTTAATACAGTAAATTCAGAAATGACAAAAAATACAAAAAAAAAACCACAAAAATACAAACATTAATGACAATACACAAGAGAATTTGAACATCAATTTAAAAAATAAAATTGTATTTTAACATAAATTCAATGTTTTTCTATTTCTTTGCATACTACAATTGTAGTTTAAAATTTTAAATTACATATTTGCCTTGCTTGCATTGTCATAGGTTTACTCAAACACAAAGGCATTTGTATATTCTTGCATGTTTGTGTAAATTAGGAAGGATTTTACTGACTGCCGAAAAGTACATTAAAAATCAAAAGCAAAAACACTCCTCTGAGATAGTAGTTTATATGTAACAATCACCTTCAATTATAATGTAACATATTATATCACAAGCAAAAAATGTATTGTTTTGTGCTAAAATGTATACAGATTCTCAATCTGGTTAATACGGTTTCTGGACAGAACGACAAAAACCAAAACGGCAATAAGTCAAAACGGCAATGACCAAAACGGCAAAAAACCGAAACGACAACACTTTTCAACCAGAACGGCAATAAGTCAAAACGGCAAGACCAAAAGGGCAATAGGCTTAAAGTCAAACCAAAATGGCAACACTTCCAGAATTTGTCAAAAGTGATAAAAAGTGCGAAAGAAAAAAAAAATATAAAGAACAACATTAATAATAATAATAATAATGATAAATAATGATAATAATGGTAATAATAATGATGATGATGATGATGATGATGATGATAATAATAATAATAATAATAGTAATAATTTAATAATACTGTAGTATAACATACAAATTCAATAGCTGAACAATTTTTGTCATAAAAGTAAAAAATAATAATTTAACAAATAACACTTTAAAGAACAACAACATTAATAATAATAATAATAATAATAACAATAATAATAATAATAATAATAATAATGATATTATACAATACAATTCAATAGTAAAAAGATTGAGGGAACACAATGTAACATATAAAATATAAAAGCAGTGAACATTTAAATATTATTAAAACCTTAAAATACAGATAAAATGAGGCTAAACAATATTATGCCATGAAAGTAAAAAACGGGAAAGAAATAATAATAATAATAATAATAAATAACAATTTAAAATAATATAGGCCTAGTCATGGGTGTCAAAAAAAAAACATAACAAAAAGCAAAACACGATTCAAAAAATTATAAACTGCTGCCCACACCTGGTGTCACTTCATTCTTGGCATTGATTTTTGCTCCTTCGCCGTTTTGGTCTATGCCTATTGCCATTTTGATAGTTGTCATTGCCGTTTTGGTCTGTTGCCGTTTTGGTCTGTTGCCGTTTTGGTACTTACCATTGCCATTTTGGTTTCCTGCCGTTTTGGTTTTTTGCCATTTTGACCTGCTCCCGGTTTCGTCTCTGCTGGTATCATATCAAAATACACAAATTATTGGAAATATAAATATAGTTTTGATAAAAATAAAGGTAGGCCTATAAATTTTGGTTTATTGCCGTTTTGACTTAGGCCTATTGCCGTTTTGACTTATTACCGTTCTGGTTGAAAAATGTTGCCGTTTTGGTTTTTTGCCGTTTTCCTCATTGCCGTTTTGACTTATTTCCGTTTTGGTTTTTTGCTGTTCTGTCCAGCAACCCCCTCCTCTCTAGGCCTAGCGGGCCTAGCTAGTAGGCCTAGTAGTAGTAGGTCTAGGCTAGTAGTTAGTAGTAGTAGTAGGCCTACTAGTAGTAGGCCTAGTAGTAGTAGTAGGTCTAGGCCTAGTAGTAGTAGAATAACACTGTTCATATATTTTTTGAATATTAAAAAAACACACAAACTGTTGGCCTATATTAATAATTAGAGATTTCAAGTCTTCTAGGCCTTTTACTCGGTTATCTGGCTGCCGTCGATTGCATACCACACTGTGAAGAAGGCGAAGTTTATATCGGCCTAGGCCTAGCTAGGTCTAGGCCTATGCCTACCTATGCCAGCCGTGACATCACGATTCACAGTCACAAAATTGACCCACGAAAGAGGATAGGACGGGATACTTAGGCCTACGTTTCATTCAATGTTATACAACAGAAATGCCACTAATGCACACATATTCAGCATTAAAGCTTACCTTCCAAAATATTAAACAAAAATCATCTGAATAAGTGTGATATTTCTATGACTGTAGTAAAATTTTCAGGTACAATGTGCAAAAAAGTCTATCACGTTGCGTTTCCGCAAAACAGCACTGTTTGTAGTGAAAACTATGGCGTCGATATGATTTATTTTTGGAATGGGAAAAACCCAGATCCTGTTGCATTATTCATGAGGAAGTTCAATTGCTCATTTTAATATTCAAGATATTGTGTCTTGCTTTATATATTCGTTAAATAATAATTAGCTACCAAAATATTTACACAAATCATATTAATGTTATGCCATACGAGACTTTATCCTGTGATTATCTATTGTTATAATTATATCTATTGATATAAACTCCATCCAAGTAGGCATTAGAGTGAAGTGTGTGAAGACGATGAATAAAAATGCGGACATCGACGATGACAATATTGAGAACAAAATTGTAATTACACAGAATCACATTTTGGTTGTCCCTGCAAATTTCAAGAGAGTGTAAATAAACATAAACATAAAAATAAATAAATAAATGAATAAAATAAAATTAATTAATTAATATAAAAAATAATTATTATTAAATGAAGAAAATATGAAATTATTTTTACATATCATCTAAGTACGGCCTACATTAGCATAATAATGAAGGGTTCCTATGCCATCAAAAGTCTATAACTCTAGAAAATATATATACAGTACTTTATTCCCGAGTTCTATTTGATATTACATTACCAATACAGAGGCATCTTATAATTTCCCATTGTATTGGGCTGCATAGACTAATAATATAATATATTTAGTTCTCTCTCTGACTGTTTAGTTATACATTTTATTTTTTGCTTATCAATTAAGACACTCAGCTGAGACCCACCATCCTGCCTATATCTGGCAAAAAGGAATTAATGATATACCTACCAATATTACAAAAAACAAAAGGAAAAAAAATCATCGGAAAATCTGCATCATCTCTAATGAAATCTCAATAAGGCTCTACCGCAGACAAAACAATACATGAATTATATCAGTTCATCCGTTCATAGCAGATACTATATATTAACAGAACACGACTTTCACATGTATTCCTTACCTATAGTATACCATGGATGAATTCCATGATTAAATCATCAAAACAAATTCTGAATTTCAATAACTCAGGTTGGCCCAACTGCAACAGTGAAAATTATGGCGTCGAGTGGGGTTTTTTTAGAATGGGAAAAACCCATGTACATTGCGTAATCATGCTCGTCCAATAACTATTCACGAATTTGGTTCGTGAAAGATTAACTACTAAATACACATGTAAAAGACCAGATACTTATTCATGTAAAAGACAAAGATAGGGGAAACGATAAAAAAAAAAGAAAAAAAAAAAAGAGAGAGAATGAATTTTTTAAATAATACAGAATGTTATCGCTACACAATACCTCACCACAATAAAATAATAGGCCTACACATGGTTTCCAGAAGTCAAACCTTTAAATTAACTCAAGGATTTTGATAAATCGTTAATAACCAAGTCTACAACTGGCTTATCACACCCCTTTGCATATAATGGAATCGGTTGTGGCACAACGCACGAGATTTCGGGTTTTAAAAAATTACGTGAGGGAGGAGACAACTGTTCAAAATTTTAAGAAAATGGGACCAGATTTTTCATATTTTTGCGTAAAATGGGTCAACTTTCAAGTAAATGGGTACACAATATTTGAATATAGGCGTAAAGTGGGTCCACCCTGATATCGTACAGAACTAATTGAAAATCCTGGCTAAGGCATTGATTATAGACTGTTTACTTTGCTATTATAACAAATAAAAGGTGTGTAGCCACGTTAGTCTGCGGTAAAACAAGTAGAAACGACAAATCCCAGCACTTTTATAGAATACCATACGTTCTTAGCTAGTTTTCGTCCAAAGTGGACGTCTTAAGTCAACTGTTAGTGTTGTTTTAAAGTGTTGAGATTTGTCACTTCTTATATTTTGCTATTATAAGTTTTAATTTTATATTTCTAAATTTAATATTTGTACATTTTGAGGTGTCGGTTTATTGGTGGTATTTGAATAATCATTGTGTTATTGAATTTAAATATTTAAATTTTAGGTAATTGTAAATAATAATTTTTGTTAGGTTATCATTAATAGTAAATTCACAATTTTTAATTAATTTAAATAATGTTAATTGTATTAATCATATTTTTTATGTATCTTTCCATTAAATTGATTGTCTTTCCATATTGTAGATATTGAATTAAAATTTTTAATTGATGATCTGTATTGTATTTTAATAATTTGGAATTATTGTATATTTTTGTTAGGTAATTATTAATATTTATTTTTTGACTGAATTTCATTTTTTTAATTATTTTATTAATTAGTATAATTAAAAAAAATTATAATATAATTAGTATATGCTACTAAGAGTTTACTTGATTAAGCAGTATAAAAATAATCGTGAGGAAAATACATTGGACTATAACCACTCGAAGCGGCGGAACGACGAATCATCCGGGCAATGGTGGTGGGCAAGCTGAGAGGGGGAGGGGGAGGGGAATTTGACCTGTCAGACAGGCTTGGACCCCCTGTCGTCCGACGAATGACTAGGTCGATCGTCAGGACAAAAATTTAAAAGAATATTAATTTGCCTACAAATAACGTTATTTTGATTGTCAATTCCTAATATTGTGATCTAAAACGGCACATTTTCATCATCATCTTCCGTTACTGTGCATAACTTCGGTTGAGTATACTCGCACATTGTGTTGTACAGCACTCATGTATGTCGCAGTCAAAAGGGAAAGAAAAGGAAATAAATAAATATAAATAAAAAATAAATAAATAAATATGTATAATTTATATATATATATCTTGTACCTGTCTCTTATACACATCTAGATGTGTATAAGAGACAGGGCCTATGCCTACCTATGCCAACGGATTTTAGACTTTTATATTGTGACTCATTGATTTATCTCGATATAGACATAAACCTGTCTCTTATACACATCTAGATGTGTATAAGAAACAGGTTCCTCTGGTGGCGAAGCACTCTGTGACCCTCCACAATGTTTTATCGCCAAATGTTCAAATCCATACAAACTACCCAATTGCTGTAACATTTGCTGTCTCTTATACACATCTCGCTACCCCTGGTCATTACAGAATAGGATAAAAAAAAACAAGAGTCGAAATGGACTGAATAAGAAATCACAATCTGTAAATTTGCCAATAAAAACAACTACATTCAGATTCTTATTATTAACTGGAAAATATTCATGCCTGACGACATACATCAATTTCGTCGTGCTTATTTTTTTACTCTCATTCTTGCAGGATACATACTGACTCTTCATTGTACTCCGGGTTGTCTCTTTGTCTATCGAGGACTTGATTGATAGTGAAATCTTTTAAAATTTTCTATTCGTCTAAAAACCTGATAAAATGAAGGGTGGGGTGGGGAAGTCAAATAGTTTTGTATTAAAGTGGGTATTATTATTGTCTACTGTATTTGTCAATCAAACAGAACGTGATCGTTATTGACATGTGGTATTGACACTATTTTACCATCTTTGTTTAACCTAAGAGATGCCATAGTAACAGCACTCCTTAGTTTAACTATCGTCATTTTAAATATATCTTACAGTACAGTAGGACTACCAGCAGCAGGTTGCAGCTAGTGTTACTTCCAAAGGACAACGCAAAGTAAGACCATTCGAGTGTTCTAAATAATCAACTTAGGCCTATTATTGTTTTATATCTTCCTCTCTGAGAGCCTTCTTCTTTATTGTAAGATAAGGAAAATGTTAAAAGATTTTATTCAACGTGTCCAACTTCTTATACATGGCTTATCGTACTTGTCTTTTTCATCAAAAAAATAAAAACTTTAAAACAATTTCCTTTAACTTTCAGATTGTGCAACCATGGCGACGACTTCATCACTATTTCTGATCTACCTTGTCATATCCATCTCACAATGCATTGCATCTTCCAACATAATCCAGTGCTCAGCAATTAATGGTTGTTTGGAATACACAAATTTCCCAGACCATCCATGTCCCGTGTGTGTAAAACAAGGGTGAGTCCCCTTTGTATGGGTGCACGCGTACGTGCGCATACATTCATTCATGGTCGTAGTAATTATTACCTCCGCCAACGAAGTTGGCAAGAGGTTATGCTTTTGCTTGTTCATTTATTTAGCTATTTATTTGTCTGTCGGAATATTTGTTGTGAACAGCCTAGGCCTACAGCCCAGAGCTTTTATCAGAAATTCATTAAACTTGGTCAAACTTGGTCACAATGTTCCATAACCAAAGATCTTTAAGTATTTGAATGTTGAAGGGTAAGGGTTAAAGGTCAATGCCACAATAAAAAAAAAAACATTTTTTGAAACAGTTTTATCAGAAATTTGTCAAACTTTGCCACTGTTACCAAAGATCTGAACATTTATACTGAAGGGAATTATGATGTGGGAGGAGATATGCACACTCCGAGTGCCCTCTAGTATCTAGTTCTAAATATATTCTGCACGAGCCAATTCACATTAAATTCTCTCGGTTTTTGTTTTTTTTTTTTGGTTTTTTTTTTGATTAGTCTCGGTCTTCCACATTATAACCATATTACCAAGGAACAGTGAAATTTCACTTGTGGGCCAGACTGAAGTCAAAGTGTGCCAAAATTAATTACTCATTACAGAAGCAAATCTAAGCGAGTACAAGACTTATTTAGAGGTTTTCATACCCGTAGAATTCAATAATAATGTCATGCTATATTAATTCCGTCCTCAATCATATTAGGCCTATATTGTAAAAGTATCGATATGGTCGTTTTATGTCTTTTTTGATAATTCTCAGTGTGAACGAGGAGGCTTTTGCTATCGTCTTTGACAGGTACTGTACCACCAGGATAGCAATGCTTTTTTGCTACTCTTATTTTGGTGTAAGAAGGCGTCTCATTTTACTATAGAGCTACAAAGATGGACAATTTTTCATCTGTCGTGAACGATTCCGGTTTGCTCCTCAGGGGTGACGCCAGCAGGGGGAGGGGAAGGGGCAGGGTCCCCGTCGAGGAGAGGTCCCCCACCCCCCAGCGTTGGGGAGATAAACTACAATTCGTCAGGGAGAAATACAATGTGTATGTATTTTCTACATATTAGTGGACTTTAAAATCGATTCTTCTTGAACGCCCCTTGCAATGCTGCATAAAGAAGTTCAGTGCGTACATTTTATGTCAACATCTCTTGCTTGTACTTTACCCTTGTGTGAACTCTCTGGAAAGATCCTCCCATACTTCGATAGGACGTCCCGGTTTGGGTTGTTTTTAAATTTCTTGGAGAGCTTTTCCTACGCTTTGCATGAACTGGTTGAGTAGACGAGCGTACATCCCTCTGATTTGCGGTTTGCTCTAATTATTGTGTCTCAAATGTACGAAAACAAGACTAATATAAGTGCGTCTAGCTCGAAAAGTTGCAAAAAGTAGCAGCTAAATTTGGTACCATCATAAAGCTAAAGCTATACTGAAGATGGTGATGTAAAAATTAAAGCATGAATCCACATGAATCTAAACTTTCTCTCCTACTTTTCTAAAAATAGATTTTTAAATATTTTTTCTGTTGTTTAAACAACGATTTATTATTGATGCAAACTTCAAATGTAAACCAAAACATATATTTGTGTTCCCCAATTTATATACAAGAAACGCGTACATTTTGAAGCAATTCCGAATTGTCTGTAAGAAAAAAAAACGTGGTTTGATATAATGTAGTAAATTATAGCATTTGAAATATTTAAAGAGAAATTTCCGACATTTGTTGAAAAGTACCACCCTTAAAATACGTTCTAAAAATATATTTTTAAATATTTTTTCTGTTGTTTAAACAACGATTTATTATTGATGCAAACTTCAAATGTAAACCAAAACATATATTTGTGTTCCCCAATTTATATACAAGAAACGCGTACATTTTGAAGCAATTCCGAATTGTCTGTAAGAAAAAAAACGTGGTTTGATATAATGTAGTAAATTATAGCATTTGAAATATTTAAAGAGAAATTTCCGACATTTGTTGAAAAGTACCACCCTTAAAATACGTTTAAATGTAAAATATTTTCAGGATAGATTAACCAGGGTATACCCATCTTCAATCATGTGAAAAAAAGTGTAAAAGCTATAGTCACCAAAATGGACTTTTGGCACACTTTGATTTCGCCCTGGCCCACTGTGCAACGTCGGCCCAACTGTTGTCACCAACCTCCACTAACGTTTACCGACGTCGGGCCAACAAAGTACTGTGACGTTGGGACAACGTCTATAATCACATCCTAATATTTACAACCTCTAACCAACGTCGGACCAACGGTTGTAACCAACCTCCATTTCAAACGTTTACCGACGTCGGGCCAACAGTGTTCTGTGACGTTGAGACAAGGTCTGTAATCACATTTAATATTTACAACCTCTGGCCAACGTCGGCCCAACAGTGGTAACCAACGTCTATTTCAAACGTTTACCGACGTCGGGCCAACAAAGTACTATGACGTTGCGACAACGTCTTTAATTACATATAATATTTACAACCTCTAACCAACGTCGGCCCAACGGTTGTAACCAACCTTCACTACCGTTTACCGACGTCGGGCCAACAAAGTACTCTTACGTTGCGACAACGTCTGTTATCACATCCTAATATTTACAACCTCTAACCAATGTCGGGCCAACGGTTTTAACCAACCACCATTTCAAACGTTTACCGACGTCGGGCCAACAACATACTGTGACGTTGAGACAACGTCTACAATCACTTCTAATATTTACAACCTAGTCAACGTTGGACCAACGGTAGTATCCAACCATCTTTTTAGTAGTTTGCCGACGTTGGGCCAGTAACAAATCGTGACGTTGTACCAACGTCCGTAGTCAGACTGAATATTTACGAGGGCTTACCAACGTTGGGACGACATCGAAAAATCGACAAATATATTCATACGTTGGGCCAACGTGAAATTCCAATGTTGGTTTGACTTACCTCTCCGACCAATTTTTGCAACCAAACACCAACGTCCTACCAACGTCAGATATCTGACCCCGACGCTTACCGACGCTTTCCAATGTTTACCAACGTTGGGCCAACGTCGCTTTGCTAGCTGGGTTGACCCCACTACGGACATTCTGAAATTACTTTATCAACATGGAGAGCAGATTGTGGCCCAGCAGAGACAGCTAGATTCATTAATTGCAAATAAATCCAAAGCGGATACAAGAGTGTGCTACAACTGCCAAAAACCTGGTCATATTAGCAGAAACTGCAGACAAAAGAAATCAACTCAAAGACAACAAACCCGACAACATTTAAACGAACAATACCAACCGCTGAGAGCCAAACAGTGGGTGAGTTAATGGGAGGCTCAACTTTTTACAGAGAGCTGTTGGAAGATGCCCAGAAACTGTACTTTGTGAGGGAGGTTCAGATGATGTAAGATTTGAACTTCGGTGTCTCCTTGACTCCGGCGCACAAGTATCGACGATTACTGAGTCGTTTTACAAGGAATGTCTCGCAGATACTTGGGATGTGTCTTCCTACATCCGCATTTCTGGAGCGCAGGGCCTAGCAGTTCCCTTTGTTGCATACGTTGAGCTCTCAATTAAAGTTAGAACAGAACATTCACAAACTTAGGATTCCTTATTGTGCGGGATCCATCCAACTCTCCGATATCAGAAAAGAAAAAAAGGAGTGCCTGGTGTGATTGGTTCGAATATCTTCAGAGATATGAGACGGGTCTTACACGCAGAACTTGGTGATGACTTTATCTTAAAGATTGTTAACATGTCTGCTGATGGACGCAAGTGGGCAAATATATTAGGTCTTTATGAGGAGGAAACCGCATTAATGAATATGGTACACGCCCATGGTCGATTAGCTGGAGACCAGCCTATTCTTGTACCTGCAAGAAGTCTGAAAACCATAGAAGGTACTACCACCCAACAAGTAAAACCTACCGTACATCACCCTTTCTCATCGAAGAAAACCATACTCACTCTCTACAAAATGGAGTAGCCATAATCCCTACATTGGTAAATATAAACAACACAGGGCTCGTCAAATTCCAGTTAATGAACGTCTCAAATTCCGATATATACCTGCAGCCACGAGTTCCTGTTGCGACCATCACAGGTCCAGCCGGAGCCGACGGTGACTGTTCGTCAAGTTAACCAACAAGACGTAATTATTGAAGAAGCGAGTTCGATGACCAGTTCAACCAATCCAATTCAGAGTTTGATGGAACGAATGACTGTGGATGAATTAGTTAGTAGTGACCCAGTAAATCTGAAGAAGTAGAAGATTTAATCGAGAAACATTATGATCGTTTTAGCCAAGACGAATTCAAAATAGGTTATTACGATAAAATCCGTCATAAAATCGACAATCACCCTGTACGTGTTCCTCATCGCAGAATTCCTCCACATCAGTGGAATGAGGTGAGGGAATATCTACAAAAATCCATCCAACACGGCATTATCCAACCATCTTCTAGCCCGTATGCCTCAGCTGTTGTCCTGGTTCGCAAGCGTGATGGCAAACTTCGTCTATACCATCACAAACACACAGCACAGTGTAATATTTTACCAGTGGCTGCATAGGAACATGAACCCTCACAGAGGTCTTATTCAGGAAATGCTCTTGTAATATTTTTATATAATAATATAACGTACACCTATTTCATTGATTCACATTAATTTGTTGTTGAAAATTCCTTTTGAATGATAATAAAGTGGGGAAAGATTATTTCAGTTTAACTATAATATTATCTTACGACTTATGACTATACCTTCGCCAACGTTTTGTAGTTGCCTCTACGAGGACCAAGTTTACCAAATTGGGGAAAACTTCCGACCCGATGATTGTACCTCTTGCACGTGTCACATTGGTAACTATAATTATATTTTATAATTATTTTTCTTTATAATTTATTATGTTATTTAATAATTATAATATTTATATAAGCCTAATATAATTTTATTAAAAATACTGTTATCATAAATTACTTCCTCATTTCCTCCTTATTATTTTTTATATTGAATCTTGAAGTTAAAGTTAATTTATCAGCATCATAGACATGATAAGTAGTATGTATAATGTGTATAATCTTGGTTTTTGGGTGAATCTGGATAGATGGAATATACCGCTGCAGAGGTATGAGATGCAGAAAACCAAAGTGCGCCAACCCCGTCAAAGCGGCCGGCGAGTGTTGTTCCACTTGCCCAAAGGAGAAACGTGAAGGTAAGTGCCAATGCCGTTGTGGCGTTTAAAAATCATATCGTTTCAAAAAGCGGATAGAATAACATTGGAAAGAAAAAATAAACTGTCAAATTGCATGTCTTTGAGAATCACTGTCAATGACAGTATATATAATATGACATTTTGTTCGGCAAGATCAAAACGAATGTTATACCTAATTACAGTTATATTGTGAAAGAAAACACTGAATTCCTGGAAATAATAAGATTAACAAAGAGGTCATGACCGGTCCATAACCAGCATAGATAAATGAAAGAAGAAAGAAGAACAATGCGATTCATGTATGCTTATGAAATGGAATAATTCCAAGTGAATGAGGATCTTAATTTCACAGCATTATGGACAAAAGAAAACTTAATTAAAATTTAAAAAAAAATACTTTAACAAATTTCGCACTTTCAAAATCTTTTTCTTAAAAATATATATATATATATATATATGTATAAAGCATTACCACAAGACGATTTAGAGTTTATCTCTTCACGTATTACATTATATATATACATATATATATACATATATATATATATACATATACATATATATATTATATATTATATATTATATATAATATATATATTCATGTCTATATATATGTATATTATACATACATATATATATGCATATATATGTATGTATATATGTATAAATATGTATATATATGTATGTATATATATGTATATGTGTGTATATACATATGTATGTATATATATATATACATACATAGTGGTGGATCCAGGATCCGTTGCATTTCTTGGTACATTCCCTACAGTGGCGGATACAGGAATTTGAAATAGACCGGGACCCAAAGAGGAATTTTCAGAGACGGAGATTCTATATTACCTCAGTTCCACCATGGTTGGGGCTGAGGTAAGTAAACTTATGACTATAACACCTCTAGACAACCGGAAATGGAACTCTTAAACTCAAAATTTGAGAGTTAAGAATTTTCTTTTTTCTCATTAAAAAAAAAAAAAAAAAAAAAAATGTGACAAATTTAGGGGGACCCGGGCATATACTGTACATAAACAAATAAATAATGATAAATAAAGTGCTCTAATATGAACGATTCATTATGGTCCTATTCGAGCATGTATTTGTTTTTTATAATTACGGTGCTTACGCAGCAAACCAAGCAGGCTTATACTATCTTTTTATTTGCGAACTTGCCTATTTTTTTCAGTTTTGACGTGCACTTTGTTGAATGGCCAAACAATCCTACATCAAGTTGGTGAGTCCGTCAAGGTGGATACATGTGGACGCGAATGCATCTGTTCCTCTGGTGGCGAAGCACTCTGTGACCCTCCACAATGTTTTATCGCCAAATGTTCAAATCCATACAAACTACCCAATTGCTGTAACATTTGTCTGCCATAAAATTAACAGAAATGGTCCTGGAACAATCTTTTTATTTTGGCACTAACATTTAACTAAAACGATGAGTCTAAAGACTAACTTAACTTAGGAAGCAAACTATCATTAGGCCTATAATAAACATTTTTTGGTAAAGAGTATGTCGGTGAATTAGTTGCCGTCAAATTAGTTGTCGTCAAAATTATTTTGGTGACATGTCATGTCGGCAAAATAATCTGCATGTCGGCGAATTAGAACATTAGGTCATTTGACGTGGACAACAAATAGTCAATGGAAGGTTAATTCAGTCCATCGGCGGAAACTGTTATCTGATTCCTTTGCCGATCATGAAATAAAATTTAGTAGGCCTACCCATTGAGGTTTTACTTACTAGAGGCATACTTAGTATATATTTTTGCGGAACTAATACAGTTTCAGTGTATATACATTGGTAGCTAGGCTACCTACGGGAAATACCCGCTGTTATTTCTTACCTTAGTCTTTTGATGTAGCCGACGACTGAAAATAGAAAGCAAAAGTTTCTGTGGTGGTAATGGGCTCAGGTCGATTAAACAAAATGGACAGAATTGAAATTTAACTGACACATGTTGACAATATCAGATAGAATATCACTATATATTCACTAGCGAATCCCTATTACAAACATAAAATGTAAATCATTATTATTGAAGCTCATGGTAAAAGCTGTGTTGTGTAAAAATATAAGATATATATATATATATATGATATATATATATATATATATATATATATATATATATATATATCAACATCTGAGTATTATCAGATAAAACAGATGCATAGCTCAGTTAATAAAACTTGTAATAACCACATGACCACCACTATGGAGATCAATTCGGATCTGCTCAATTCTATCACTGATTCCATTTATACTGGAGGGCCACAAAGCTATAGTGCACCGTCTTACAGATATGACGTTTTTAAAAGAAGTTAGTCCTATGCGCACACTATTCGTAAAAAGTAGGTTATTGTTTCCCATTGCACTACCAACTTCAACAAGATCCCACTGGAAATAAGCCTTCGACTTTTCTTCTCTAAAATTAATGCCAGAATTGTCAAATTATAATTTCGCTGGATGGGATTAGCCTCTTTTGATTTGTGGTCTAACTTTTATGGTGGTGTTAAACAACATTTAAGTCTAAAGTCTCGTAACCCTGAGTATCAAGTGTTACGTAACTCGAGATCATTTAACGTATTGTATTTCTGTAATAAAACTACATGCCTTTTTTCTAAATTCATAACATTAGCTTATTAAATGTTATTGTCACTCAACCCAAAAAAAAAAACTTTCATAGTCATTAAATGCCATAATTAAGCAGTACCGCAATTTGTTTCTGATTCTTTGAGTTTAATTTCTAAAGACATGGGGTATACGGCTTGCCTTTCGGGGCTTGCTCGAGGGCCTTAAGATAATTTCAAAGACCTTTTGAGATTTTTTCCAATGTCTCAAAACCTTAAAATGATCAAAATGAGTCGGGTTAGCGAACAACAGTTTGATCCGCAGAATTCCCCCCCCCCCAACTATNNNACTTGACGGTGTTAGGCCTTTTTACAAGAGTTGCTAAATACAACCACTTCAGACGAGGGAGGCGGCTTCTTATGGTGAAGTCATGCATAATTTCAGCTGTGATACGTCTTCATTCCTAATCGCCTCGACAAAAAGAGTAGGCATGCAAATACAGTACGGTACCGTATTTTGAAAACGGATCAGCTGATCTCAGTGGTTGCGCTGTCAAATTAGATCTCTAGCACACTCAAGTGGCATTATAAAAGGGTGTGGACATGAGTACCATTTAAAGAAAACGTACCTGACCAGATATCCCAAAAACTGATCAACCTCTGAATGAAACTTTCTGGAAGTTTTAACCAAATTATAAGTACAAGGAGTGAATTTGATGGTCATTTAAAGTTCTAAAGTCCCATACTGAAATATTTCAAAAAAAAAAAAAAAAAAAAAATTATTAAGGGATTTAAATGAAACTTTCTAAAATAGGTTGTCGTGGTCCAGTGAAGAAGTGATTACATTTTGGTGACGATTCGGAGTAGGGTGTGGGTGCAGTGGAATTTGAAATAGAGGGGGGACCTAGAGAGGGACTTTCACAAGTGGAGGGTCTGTACTACCTCAGCCCCACCATGGTTGGGCTGATTGAAGAAAATGTATGATTATGCACCGCTAGAGGCCCGAAATGGCACTCTTAGACTCAAAATTTGAGCAGAATTTCCATCTTTTCTATTTTTTTTTTTAAATTTAGGGGGAGGGGGGCGGCTTGGCTATAGCCCCCCAGCCCCCCCCCCCCCTCTGGCGCACTACTGTCAACAACGCATTTTTTAAATGATTTTTACTCAGTCAGTCGCATGCACGTCTTCTTTTTCTGGTAACATTTCAAAGCACAAATGGTTTGGCCGGCTTATGATTTATATCAATAATTAGATATTTTGATCTTTTATAATTGATTGAATTTTATATAGGCCTATGTATGTTTTAAAACCACACACATACGAATACGTGCATGTCCCACAAAAACGCAATTATTTACATACGTTACACTGTTTGCCTCCGGGTCTCACACGTTAACAACAATACAAGGTGGGGGGGGGGGTGCAGGTGGCTTTGCGGAATGGTTAAGAATATTAGATTTGTCACTAATATTCCTTTGTTTTCATTGAATTAAATTGAACTGAATCCACTTTGAAAAGCCTCGTTTAAGTCAAATGGATCAATGTGTCTATCATCATGCGCTTTCGTCCAAAGACAACACTTTTTACTGATTTCGTCTCTAAAGTTCTCATTAGACTCTTTCTTCTGGTAGTCAATACGCCTCCAATTCATTCAGAATTTATTGATTTTATATGTCGCTTATTAATTCTCACTAACATGCTGGTGCATTGATTTTACATAATTTCCTTGAAAAACACAGTTAACGGATTTTAGACTTTTATATTGTGACTCATTGATTTATCTCGATATAGACATAACCATGTCGTTGATTATTATCAAAATTGATCATATAGGCCTAAGTAGATTACGAGTACAGCTCCATTGAAGATATAGGCCTACAATAAAATTACAGTTCAATCATTTCTCTGAATCATCCATCGTCCGATTATTATCGTTTTTTATACCAAAATATTTATGAATGTTACTCTGTTCTTCTTCCACTGAATTTACAATCGATATTAGGACATAATCAAGTAGTTGATTATTATAAAAATTGATCAAATAGGCTTAAAGTAGATTACGAGGTATACACAGCTTTCATTAAGCCTAAACAGTAGAGGATTTCCGTGAATTTCGTCTGTATATCAAAGAGGGCAGCATTCGTTCTGATCCGTTCTCAGAGCCGAATTCGACTCTCAGCCGCTGTGCGGCACCATTTGAGATGACAGTATTTCAACCAAAAGGGCATCAAAGCATGATAACGCCTTGAATACTTTTGGCTGTTTAGAAAACCGTCGCAAACTCATGGCAGGAGCCGGGCAGGAGCAATTTCCATTCTTTGTCATCTCCCACACCAAACACCACCTGGGATTTTAATCGCGGCGACTGACCGAGTTAATGTGGTTACCCCTTATTGCACCACCCTCTCCTCCTCCCCGACCGTCGGCACTGATTTAAACCACAGTCCTTCATGTAAAGAGTGACTTCACTCTAAAAGCAGGGGCGGATTTAGGGGGGGGGGGCCGGCCCGGCCCCGGCCCCCCCCCTTTTGGGAGGTAAAAAAAAAGAAATAAAGAGAGAAAAAGAAAAAAAAAAGAAAAAAAAAGAAAAAAAAGAGAGAAAAAGAAAAAAATAATAGCCCAGAATGCCTCAAATGTTATGTTTGGTCGTCTAGAACACAGAAATTTCGCGGGGGCATGCCCCGGGCCCCCTACGACAGTGTTGTCTCAATTGGCCCAACTTCCGGCCCCCCCCTTTTGGACATTTCTGGATCCGCCCCTGAAAAGAGGGGTCACTTTAAATTCCACTGGGAATTAGATTCACTCATAAAATGAGTGAATTGTATTCAATAGTGATAGTGAAATATTTGTAAGTCTTTAAATTTCACTCTATATTGGGAGTGATCAATATGCACGGCAGGCTTTCATTCTTTTTTCATCCTTTTGCATAGTGTGTATGTATGCTCACATTTTTAAGTGGCGCATATTTTTAACTGTTGGTTTAGGATTAATATATTATATTAATGCTTGCGGTACACACGTAGATAGTGCTGAAAAGAACTGTTGTTGTTGGTTGAGGATATCTCGACGTTTCGATTGAGTTGCTTCATCGTCTCAATCGAAACGTCGATATATGTACGTAGTGTACCGCAAGAATTTACTATTATTTTACTTCGCCATGCAAACCTTCAAACATATCCCCCCCCCCCACACACACACCCGCACACCCACGTTGCGGGTTTTTAATTGTATATTTTTGGCAGTGATTGCCTTCCATATGAATAGAATCGCTAACGCACGCGCAGCTCAGTCAGGAGGAGTTGACCTGAAAATCGGTAGGCCCGTTTTGACATTTTTTGAAATAAATAAAATAAGTAGAATTTGGAAAGCTTAAAATACTAACAGTGCCAGTAGGTTTATGTCTCTGTAGATTTAGTATTAGACTGTGGTATTTAATAATGTCAATGTGTGGTAGGCTTATCTTATTTTACTCTATTTAGCAAGTTTAAGGCCTACCTAGGCCCTGGTTAGGCCTAGGCTAGCTAGGCCTACACACCTATAATAGGGGGTGACAGACGATCGGGCACACGAGACGATCGGGCACAGACGATCGGGCCCGTTTTTGGACGATCGGGCCCACTTTTGAAAAGTGTGCCCGATCGTCTAAAAACTGGCCCGATCGTCTCGAAAACGGGCCCGATCGTCCTGGGCCCGATCGTCTCGTGGGCCCGATCGTCTTTAGGGAAAACTGAATATTGGGCCCGATCGTCTGCTGACAAAATCGAAAATTTCCAAAACCATTTTGGCTTGCCTAGGTCAATTTCGGCCGCGCCCCGTCAAATAACAAAATTGTATGGAGCGCCGCGTTGTTGCTCCGCGAGTTCCTGGCAGGCAGAATCGGAAATTTCTAAAAGTTTTCGTCAATTTCGGCAGTCGAATGACTATATTACACCAGGGAGGAGTTATTTCATCCTCTTCCGATTATACCAAATATATAT